TGCGTGATGGTGGCCGATGTGGCGGTCTTTTGCTCGCACTAAAGTCTATTTTTCCCGAAAATGGACGAATGAACGTTGCTTTCTAAGTTAATATATGAAAATTATACGACGCGTGACCTTGCCTTTTTTATTTATCATCCTAGGAAACAGATGTTAAATCTCCAAAACGAAAATAGACGAAATTCGAAATTATTTCTCCAGCTTTCAATGTTCATTCTGTGCTATTGGCAAATGGCAGGTTAACGTTCACAGATAAATCCTCCACTGATTACAGTCAGGACGTACGATTTTATAAGATTTTTTAAAAAAAGCATGATCCCTAGGGTTCACCCCACTCCAAAAAAAAGAAAAAAAAAGAGAGAGAGAGAAAAGCAAGTATCCGTATGATCCACATCAACAGCGGGTCGGGTTTACACACATCACAATCCCACCGCAAAACACAATTAGATAATAAAAAGAATAAACGTGTTGGTATTCTTCCTTTTTTCCTCCTTCTCGCTGTTTAAAAGTGCTTCCGAAAACAACATCAGGCGAGCGCATGCATTACCGCAGGAGAGGCCGGCCATGGAATCGATCTCCACAGTTTACCGGCGCTACTGGGAATCTAATTAAGATGGCAGAGAGATACCGGGCTTAGTGCTCGGCTAAGCTGGTGCCCGGAGAGACCTGCCGCTCACTGGAGGAGGAGGAGGAAAAAGAGGAGGAGGAGGAAAAAGAGGAGGAGGAGGAAAAAGAGGAGGAGGAGGAAAAAGAGGAGGAGGAGGAGGAAAAAGAGGAATGTATTTGTTATTGTTTCTGCTTATTCCGTATTTCTGTCCGATCTATACAAAAAAAAAATCATTGTAATTAATGGAATGAAGTGTTTTGATTTTGTCTTTGACTCTATTCGTTATAAGAATTCTCGGTCATTCGCGAATTGGTAAATATGTATGACTACGATGAATAATTAAACCGTTATCTATTTATCTATCTGCATTGCGTTATCATTAAAAGTCTAATTAATTATTGACTTTGGCAATGCTAATGGTATGAATATTGATGATATTCATGACGAGATAGATAGCTTTGCAGTTAATAAGATAACTATCATTAATCAACTTTCCAATCATGTTTATTATTGTCATTACTAATCTTATGAAATTGTTATCAACGTGATAGGAATGATTGTCACCATTATCATAACAGCTGGAATACGGTAATGACAAATGTGATAATTAAATAAATCAATTAATAAGTATAAGCATGATGCAAATGTAAATTACGGGAGATAGATGAAATACAACGGAAATGTCAGTAAAAACCGGGATGGACTGATTAGTGTCAGCTGATCTTCATATCACCGTAAGTAATTAAAACAAAGACATTTATCCTTTAACAGTATTGATATGATTGACTGAAAGCAATATATCAGATTTAGAATACGTTATCAAGGGTATAATGGAATTAAGAAGAAACAAACAGACAAAGCGATATCGAGATCTTGAGAAAGAGAAAATCCTTGGCCAGGGGTTCCCAGCGTCGACCTGTCATCCCAAGGGACTTAATTTTCCTGTCGAATTTCTAAATGACCCGGTCTGACCTATTGTTCTTAGTGTGGCGGCAATCACCTTGTTTGACCTTCAGTACTCGTTGGCAATGAGGCTTTGTATAGCAATTTCTGAGGGCGCTTTGTAGTCTTTATGTATGGGTCGCTGGCGTGCGTTTGTCTTAATATCTTTTGTTTTTTGACTTACGTTGGTCCGAAATGATGATGTATAACAATTTTCCATTCATTGTATGATATTCAAATGCCTGTTATCGCACATCTGGACCGTGTGGGCTGGCGACCAATGATGCAGTCACACGTCGCGGAGGTTTTCCCGCGCGAATGATCCCGAGACCACGCCCCCCTTGCCGTGGCTCATGCGATCCCTACATGGCCATAAACACACACTTGTTACTTGTAATTAAACTGCGAATTACCTGAACCGACCCCCTCGCACTGAAACAATGGAGACCGTGCTAATGCTAGGCACAGCCACGCCCCCTTCTGGTCGAGGGATCATTACGGATTCCACCACCGGAAGAGGCAGCGGACTTCGCTGGCTTTGACGTCGGGGAAGAGATGATTATTCTAACGTTTATTAGCAAGTAGAACAAACAAATTGTGAATGGTAAGTATGAAAGAATATGAAGATATGTAAAAATGAAACAAAGGTCTAGATAAAGTTAGGTATCCGTATACAGCCTTGCAGGTGAAATCGAAATCGCATCATTTTCCAACTAACGCTAAAGTACAAAAAAATATAATTCACATAAATACAATCTCTTTCTGTCTTTGTTAAGACACAGGCAGGAGTACATTTCGAGTCTTAGCGACAAACAAGAAGATCTAGACCACAACACCGCGTCTTAAGCTCCCAACATGGCGTCTCCCTCGAGCTGCTCCCACGGTGCTTGTCGACGGGCTTGTCACCTAGAATTCTAGATGACGCGTGATTGGAGCTGGCGAAAAGTGAAA